CATCCGGTACCCCAATTACCTGGCAAATATTAAGCAATAGATAACCAACATTAAATCACTCACCAAAGGAATCAACGAGAACATAAATGACACAATGCACTGTTCCGCTAAGCTCCACCCTTTGGATATTGTTGCTATGGTCCTATGACAGTGTAGACGTACGCAGACACGTGCGTTACTACTATACTCGGGGCAGGGCGAAACACGTACTACTGGGCCTATTTCTGGATCCATTATGTTACTATTGGAATGGGAGCCTGATGGGGTAGGGGAAGGTGCGAAGGTGAAGTGTGAGGGATGAGGTGTGGAGGGGGAGGTGCGAAGGTGAAATGGAAGGGAATGCGCTACACAGCGTACCCAAGTAGGTACACCAAACTATGTCACGTCAATTTTTAGATGTAGACGCGCCCACAACAGATTATAAGGAGCAAACAAGAAATTTCAATGAGATAAGATTACCAACCTGAACCTGCTCAATAGATGGATGTCGTGAGAGAACATTCTCGATGACGGCGGGAAAAATCTTTACAGTACCCCTGTTTATCATATCCTGTGTAAACAAAAATAAAATTATATTGAACGATAGTCTAATGCAAAGTAAATATTTCTTTTGTATATACCGATACACTATGTAAGGTACTCAGATTTGTGGCGCCAGTGAGAGGGGCATCGAAAAGAGTTGTCACCCCCACCACTCCCGCCGGGGGAAAAGCACCCCAATTCGTCAGTATAAAATAAATATACAGAATGTGAAATTTTAAAATTGATTAATTGATTGCCCTCTGGACCCCCTCTGAGATGAGAGGTTTTAGCCTGCTCCTGATCCCACCCACGTATGTTCCCGGGGAAATCTGCCTTCAGCAGTCACATAATCCAGCCTCCACCCATCGGCGACATCTTCGGACTCCCGTCGTGCAAGCTCAGACGACACTTATCTGGATCTAGTGCAGTGTTGTGGATTACTTGTGTGAAGTGTGAGGGGTTAGGTAGACATAAATAATAGACATTTCTGGAGTGTCGACCAAACGTAACTATTGATCAATCAGAAGAGCGCAACACACGCTTGTCTCAAACCCACACAGGCACGTGTTTACGTACGTTTACGCGCTATCGTTTTGTGGCATTTACCAACAATAGGGAGCTTTCGATTGCACGACGACGGTAGGACCTAGACCGTAATGACGTCACTAAAAGTCATCTGCGCATGCGAGAACGTTAAGGTCACCTCGTCGAGTAGATTCTGAACGCAATTTGGCCAAATCTACGTATGTAAGAACGTAGGACGCCCGGTAGGACAGTCACGCATGAGTCATTCCGTTCTAGCGTCGAATCGTCGCGCAAATTGAAAGCTCCCTAGCATCCAAGGGCGGGGCTTGTGGACAGGTCCATTTTGTTTGAGGATTGACTTCTTCATGATCAACGTGTGGCTATTTTAAATATATTACCTTTTTTCTCCCGACTATTGACAGGACACCAGCCGCGTTAAAAACACCAAGGTCACTAAAGTAAATATCAATATTATAAATATTTCATAATAGAAATGTATTTACATATTCATGATTTACTAATTTACTATTGTAAATAATAATGATGATGATGATGAAAATTGAAGATGATGATGATGATGATAATGATGATGATGATGATGATTGCTAGTTATTTTTCACGTACCTTTCTATTAGTTAAGAAATAACAATATTGAAGCCAGACACACTGCGCCGTACGACTATCGTACGACAACGACCATCGGCAGACGAAACCATAACCGTTTTGTTTGAGTGCATAACTACACGACGAAATCTGACTGTCAGTGACAGCAAAGAGTGGGGAAAGCGGGGCTAGTTGCATCGGGGGCAAGTTGCATCACAGGGGTTTTCTTTAAATATCAACATATTGGGCTCTGGCAACCACACCCATCGCCTAATAGCACACAAAATTTTGACGCGATCCAGTAAAGCTTGAATATTTTAACAAAGAAATCGTTATTTTTACCCATGTAAGTAAAATACTGATGCATTGGTTTGGTATATATAATTGCACTAAGATAATGTTGATGAATATCGTAAGTTAAGAGTTATACTTTAATGTTTTTGTAAACAGTATAGATAATTAAAAAATTTAATTAATATTTTTTTTAAATATTTTAACAGATACAATACTTGAACAATGGTGAGACGATACATTCAAAAGAAAAATAGGGAAAAGACCAAGAACAACTGAAGCGAGCGGCAAGCAAATTTTGATTGACCGAGAGACTGCCTGTGCCAAGTGTCGCAAAGGACAACAATGTGCATTATATAGCAGTGTAGCACACTCAACAGATTAGTGAACAGGTTAAATAAGGGTATGGGGGCGATGATTATGTAGAGTATACCATTTTTGTCAAGAAAATTGAAATCCATGGGTTTCTTGGGTAATTATCAAAGGTTATAGTATTGGAAGTTGGCCTTCAAAATATATTTTGTTGTTTATATAATTTTGCTAGAGGTATTCAGTTGATATTAAAAAAGATATGTTGATTTTTTAATGATGCAACTTGCCCCTCGGACGGGGCAATTTGCATCCTTAAAAAAAAGGTCTCGTAATTTCGAAAGCTCGGAAGAGGGCAGTATAGTAGAGGCAGTAGAGTATATTGGCCCTAACGGCCGCCTATACAAAAAAGATCTATTAAGCAATCAGCACAGGAAAGATCTATTAATAAATCAGTCGGGTATTCATAGAGCTCCTCATCAGATCTAAAAATGATATTCAACCCTCAATATTTCTATAAAAATTAACTTATCTGTTATGATTTCACTTTTAGTAGTATGTCAATCTGATGTTACCCCTCAGTTAGTTTAGTTGATATTGTATCTACTTTTCAAAAGATATTAACAAAAGTATAAAAAATTATGCAACCAGTCCCGCTATAGAATGGATTCTCACTGGCGACAGTCCGAGCGAATCGTTATCAAAGTCGACGTTGCTCGCGCCAGTAGCATTGCGTTCTTTTTATGGGAACAGCGTCAGCCGACGGCCGTCTGTACTGCGGGTCCGGAGCTAATTACCCAGTTTTAAACCACCCGTGAGGCGATTTAGCTGCTTTCGTCTGTTCATCATTCCCCATGTATCTCTGAAAGTTACCACAACAGCGGCACCAAATTTCACCATTACTGCTAACAGGTACACACTTTCCGTCATCATCAACCAATTGTATCTAGAAGTTGAATTAACAAACATAATCATTATCATGTGAGAAGTTATGTTTGGGAAATGTTTAAGTGTTGAAACCTGCGTGCAGGCACCGTAAAAGGTTAAAGGTTATTAATTTACCTCTGCATTTGGCAATATTCGAACTCCAGAACACCGCGCATCCAATGGGTCCAACGGAGAGCTTATGGATGGTACCATCACTTCAGTTGAAGCATACGCTATCTGGAATTTAATGAATATGATTTAGCAGGCCCGTAGGTAGGATTTTCGATGGGGAGGTGCGTTTTGCAACCGAAGCGGACCTCACGATGGGCGACTGCCTAGGGATCCCCGCGAGGGTTGGGGCGAATCTTCTGGAAGCTCTGACATATTAGCATTTTGAGTGACTTTTTTAATGGATTTCTAAAATCCATAATTTGTAATATCCTATTTAAATTTTAATTCATTTGAGTATTGTCTAGGGAACTACAGTAAAGCAGGAAAAATAAAGGGTGGGGTGCAGGGAGAAACTTGCACAGACAGATGGTCAATACCACCTCAGCCCCACGATGGTTGGGGCTGAGGTAAGAAAATTTATGATTATGGCACCTGAATGTGGCCGGAAATGGCACTCTCAGAAAAACTTTTCTTTTTTCTCCATTTTTTTTTTATAATTTATTTCTCCCCCTTGAATCCACCACTGTGAAATTATAATATTTCATGTCCTTTACATCTGTAGGCCTACAATTACTGGAGCTAATAATTTCCAACAGATTTCGTAGCACATTATTGAAAATCAACGGGTAGAAGAGCGGGCAAAAAAATGTAATGAATATTATAGCATTTCGCGATAATTACGAACGATTTTTAGTGAAATAATAGGTTTTAAAAAGTGGACTTTTTAAAAGGGGTTTGTGAGAAAAGCGACAAAGTAGCATTTTGAGGGTCTTACATAATAGATTTCTCAAACACATAATTCATGAATATTTCATTTAAATTTTCATTAATTTGGGTGTTTTTGGGACCTGAAAAAGTAACGTTATTATGTCGTGTACATCCGCAGGCCTATAGATAACATTCTTCATATTATAGATCAATCTGCAATCACCGGAGACGATCAATTTCTAACCAATTTTATACCACATCATTAAAAATCAACGGTTAGATAAGCTGGCAAATATATAATGCAATGCATGCTATAGCATTTTGTGATAATTAGGAACGATTTTGTGAAATCATAGGTGGACCTTTTGGAATTGTGGGGGGGGGGGGGTTGGGTGCGTCCGCACCCTCTGCTCCCCCTGTCTACGGGCCTGTTTAGGCCTAGTTAAACATTGTGCTGTCATAATTCAGGATTTATACTATGGTAAAATTTTACAGTCACATACTCGTACATTTAAATATACATATATACAAACAAAACAGACTACTTACCAGTATTTTGCAAGCAAATTTTTCTTCAAAGTCCTTCGCCATTTTTGGAGGGATGTTTGATCCTCCGGTTAAACCTAATAATTTGAAGAAGAACATTGCTGCGATGAAATAACTATTATTTATTAATTTCATCTACTTATGTAAAGGGTGTTTCGAGTGCACAATTTTGTTTGATAAACCATAATCCTCTAAAAATTCAAAATGCTTCATGAGTAGTCCTTTTTATTGGAAATAGGTGCCAATTAAGTTAATAGTTACGTACAAATATCGAGAGAGGTTACATCATATTCTCCGATGTCCTTGAAGTTCAACATGTCGTATAGATAAGTAATTAAGAAGAGCACATCAGTACACCTTCGGAATTAAAGAATAGAACTTTAAAAATAAAAAATAATGTAATAAGATATGTTTGATTGAAAAGGATCATAACGGATATCCGAATGCCTATAATTATTTGTAGGAATGGTGTTGGTGTACCTGTTGGTGTTTTTGTCAGGAAATTTAATAGGAATACATGGACTAGCTAGTGGTTAAGACACCAGGCTAGTTATCTGTAGGTCGTGGGTTCGATTCCAAGCATAATCACTTCCGATGTTTTCCGCAAGTATTTTGGAACGTACTGAGCATTCAGTAGACCTAAGATAACACGTCAGGTAGGGCAAAACACCATTCCTGTAATCTACTGACAAAAGCACCATCGGAATATAATTATTTGCTTACTTAATTAACTAAAGGCTACCAGTACCTTTCATTTTGAATTG